GAGGAGTCGGTACGGGAGCCCATGGCAGATTACGGGCCTGGCAGCAGCATGAGGAGGCGGTACAGGGGCCCATGGCAGAGTGGCGGAGCGTAAGCAGCTAAAATTGAAGGCCATACAGAGGCCTATGTTAAAAAGTCCCCCCAGCAGCAGCGTGGGGAGACGACTATCAAGAGTCCAATGGCAGAGTGGCGGAGCAGAAGCAGCTTCAATTGAAGGCTATACACAGGCCTAGGTTTAAATGTCCCTCACAGTTAATTCCAATAACGAACTCTACTCCTCCGTGCAATCTACTTACGAGACCCTGAGCAGGTCTGGGTCCAATTTGTGGTAGAGACTGGTTTTGTTCAGCCATGCTTGAGCGAGTAATAACAGGTCTGTGCTGCCCTTTGGTGTCTGGCTTAATGCGCACAACACTGAACGTCCCAGCGTTTGTCAACGATTTGCCGTTAAGTGATGCAAACCCGCTGAACCACGTTCATGAGGAGCCGGTACAGGGGGCCATGAATCCGTATGGACCTGGCAGCAGCGTGAGCAGACGACAGAGGCACATGGCGCAGGGTGGCGGTGGATGCAGCAGTATTCGGAAGCCAAACACAGGCCTCGGTTAAAAAGCGGAAGCCGTCAGCAGCGTGAGCAGACGACAGAGGCACATGGCGCAGGGTGGCGGTGGAGGCAGCAGCAATGGAAGGCCATACAGCACCCTATCACAAAATGGAACCCACCAACAGTGTAAGGAGACCTGAAAGTGGCACATGGCAGAGTCTGGCGATGAAGTCAGCAGCAATGGGAGGCCGTACAGGGACCCATGACACACTCTGGACCTGGCAGCAGCAAGAGGAGGCGGTACAGGGGCCCATGGCAGAGTGGCGAAGCGTAAGCAGCTTAAATTGAAGGCCATACAGAGGCCTATGTTAAAAAGTCCCCCCAGCAGCAGTGTGGGGAGACGACTATCAAGAGTCCAATGGCAGAGTGGCGGAGCAGAAGCAGCTTCAATTGAAGGCCATACACAGGCCTAGGTTAAAAAGTCCCCCCAGCAGCAGCGTGGGGAGACGACTATCAAGAGTCCAATGGCAGAGTGGCGGGCGGAGCGGAAGCAGCTTCAATTGAAGGCCATACACAGGCCTAGGTTAAAAGTCCCCCCAGCAGCAGTGTGGGGAGACGACTATCAAGAGTCCAATGGCTGAGTGGCGATCCGGGAAGTCAGCGTTGTGATTGCAGATGCAATGCAGAGATTCTACGAGGTGATGCCGTGGGTGCGAAGAAGATCATATACCGTCGTACTTCCATCCATAAGACGGAACAACCTGCGAACCGAGAGCTTTATTGCCCTGACCCGCTGAGCAGCTTCTGGGATACCCAAGAGGCCCATGGCAGAGTGGCGGAGCGTAAGCAGCTTCAATTAAAGGCCATACAGAGGCCTATGTTAAAAAGTCCCCCCCAGCAGCAGTGTGGGGAGACGACTATCAAGAGTCCAATGGCAGAGTGGCGGAGCGGAAGCAGCTTCAATTGAAGGCCATACACAGGCCTAGGTTAAAAATTCCCCCCAGCAGCAGTGTGGGGAGACGACTATCAAGAGTCCAATGGCTGAGTGGCGATCCGGGAAGTCAGCGTTGTGATTGCAGATGCAATGCAGAAATTTTATGAGGTAATGCCGTGGGTGCGAAGAAGATCATATACCGTCGTACTTCCATCCATAAGACGGAACAACCTGCGAACCGGGAGCTTTATTGCCCTGACCCGCTGAGCAGCTTCTGGGATACCCAAGAGTTTGGCTTCTGTGGGGAATATGGTTGAAAACTGAAACTTAAAGGCATGTTGACGGAAGGGCACCAGTGTCAGTGCTCCGGAGGGAATATAGCTTCAAAGCTGACACTTAAAGGTATATCGACGGTCAGAGACCACAGGAAGTGGAGCTTGCGTCTTAAATCGACTGAATGTGGCAGACGTGAAACGTCTACGGGCCGTATATGAAACGGGTTGTTCCTCTTTCTGGAATAAGTGTTGGAAATGGCCACTCTTTTTGGTGTGGCGTTTTGTCTATTTAATTCCGATAACGGACTCTACTCCTCCGTGCAATCTAGTTACGAGACCCTGGGCAGGTCTGGGTCCAATTTGTGGTAGAGACTGGTTTTGTTCAGCCATGCTTGAGCGAGTAATAACAGGTCTGTGCTGCCCTTTGGTGGCTGGCTTAATGCGCACAACACTGAACACTGTGTCCCTGAGTAACGATTCTGTGTCCCTGAGTAACGATTCTGTGTCCCTGAGTAACGATTCTGTGTCCCTGAGTAACGATTCTGTGGCCCTAAAGTCTCTGTGGCCCTAACTCTGTCCCTTAATACACACAGGTCTGTCTCTCTTGAATGACCGGAGGCTAATGGAGAATTCTAAGATGGCCGCGATTTATAGCTCCACCATTACACAGTGCTGGGCTGGCTGCTGATTGGCTAATGCGATCACATGTCATGAATGCATTATGGGTCAGCGCGCCTTGTCTGCGCGCCTTCCCAGAGATCCCCGCCCCATCTTCTCTGTCCATTTTCTGCGTCGCCACACATGTCGTCGCCATTTTTGGGAAAATTCGATTCGTGCATCCGAAGTTTGCTAATCTTCGGATTCGTCGCGAATAGAATTTTTCCAAATCTTCGGAACGAATTCCACTTCATCATGTTCGATTCGCTCATCTCTAATTATTATTATACAGGATTTATATAGCGCCAACCGTTTGCTCAGCGCTTTACAATATAATGGGAGACAATACAGCAACAATACAGTTCAATACAAGAGGGTTAGGAGGGCCTGATTCTGGGAGCTTATAATCATTGACTTCTATTATTTTTATTTGAAAAAAAAAAGTCTATAATCCCCAATGCAATGATTAGGTGAATGGTGTTTAAGATGGGTAGAATCCTGATCACAATTTAAAATTGACTTAATTTTACATTTCTATTAAAAAAATTATTTAAGTAATGTATATCTTAGTTTTGGATATAGTATAGAAGAATTAGAACCTCTGTATTTGTATTGCTGTGTCCATGCTGGTTAGATTAATGCTTTTGATTAATCATGAAGACCTTTATTGCCAAGACAGAAAGTGATGAGAAGTGCAACATTTTACAGATGTCACCAGAACAAGAGGTGATAATAAATTTTCCAATGGGGACACCTGTTCTAGTGACAGGAGAATTTTCCTCTCTTTGTAGACATTTCTGCTATATCATGTTATGTCTCTGGGACAGCAAGTGAAGCAATATCTCCCCAATGGAACACAGACAGCAAAAAATTAACTAATAAAGATTTTAATTTATCTTTAGACTATCCAGACCTAAAAGAAAATATTCTAGTTATATATACAGGTTAATTTTTACTAATAGTTTTTAGTAAACCGTTTTGAAACTATTTTTACAGAGGTCCGTTAGAAAGCTTAGGGCCTTATATATGAATCTATGAATTTGTCCTCTGAAGAAGCTGTTTTAGTCCTTTATACCAATCAGCTTTCAGTTGTGGTTTCTGCAGTGCAGATTTGAACAACTGAACATTGAAACAAGGATTCTGATTGGTTGCAATGAACAAGTGTTTTTTTTTTTTTTTTTTGTTACAACACTTTCATTATTTGTTTTTGTGGCTGTCAAGTAAATTTTATTACATATAAAACAAAGGAGACTTTCAAGTAAAAAATGAAAAATGTTTAGTAATTACATTATGATCATGTTCAATTACTGAGTAATGCCAAGGTTATATTTTTGTGGTTTCACAGTTATATCAGTAGTTACTACCGTGTTGCAAAGAATGAACTTTGGTGTACATTTCCTTTGCAAGCTAAAAAATACCCTTCATTATCAATTTCTAGTAGCAATATCCCATTGTGATAGTTCCGCCAACAAGGGGCTATTTTATTAGACTAGTCTTTTTTTTTTTTATTTAACCTTTACCTTATGAACATATGTTTGGGTTACTTATCATGAATTAAACGCTGGGTTACGCAAAGCAATATTAATTACATTGAAGATAAACATTGCACATTTTTGGATATTGAATAGAAATATATTTAAAGTAAAAATAGTGTAGTGGAAGCAATGTTTTCACACAAAACAGAATACTTGCTTTTAGTTTTTTTTCCCAGAAGAATAATGGGAACAATTACTTTTAAACCTAATTTTTCATGCAGATATTTTTGTTCTACTTGCACATTTGTTAAAGTTATTTGTAGTCTCTTGAAAGCCAACATATTTTTTGAAGAGTGGAGAGTCAAGTTGTCATTGCGATCTGTGTCTTCACTGGGGTTATTCACTCCCTCTATTTGTCCTAGTGACCACTGTCCTTAGAATGGAAAGTGAAGACAATTCCAAAATTTAAAGTTGTTGCCAGAAAAGGATTGTGGGTAAATCTTCCAATAGAAATGCTTGCTGTGGCGATAATTGTCTAGGATAAAGATTTCCTCTCACCTTGGGACTATGAGATAGGAAATAAAGAGAAATCTGCCCAAGTGGGATACAGATTTAAGTTGTCCAAAGATGCCTCCTTTTTTTTTTTTTTTTTTTTTTTTAATCAATTAGTCAGTGGGCTGATTGGAAGAAAAACAATGGATTCCTCCATCCCCACAAATGAGGTGGAAAGAGGAAACCTCCCTGCTGGTCAAAACACACTGATCAGTGGTTTCGGCCACTTGGCTGCAGCCACTGATTGAAAAAAGTTTTCCAACATTCCCATCCTGTTGAACTGGGGTGGCCATACATGGCCCATTCCCGTTCTGCTGATGGCTCAATATCAATCCAGCTTTGGTTTACAAGACTCAAAAAAGGTTTTGCCTTAGATATACTTTAAATTCTTTTCTTTTTTAAGTCTGTTTGTGCTTTAGTTCTTGTATTTTTTATATTTATTTACTGTAAATGTGTATTTGCATTTTGTTTCTAAATACCTTTCATGTATTTATGTAGCTTTAGACAATTTGGACCCAATTCCGAAACTTTCTAAGAGATCATTTAAGACTTTCCTGCAACAAAATGGTGGAACAGCCAATTAAAGACATCTTGGGTCCTCCGAAGGCTTCAGATCCCATGATGATGGAAAAACGCAATGACTGTGTAATTATAACGGTTCCGAGAGTCAATGAAAACCAACTAACTGCAGCGACGGGTGGAGCTGAGCTTTCTTGTTATCGCTGCACAATACCTTTCGGAGTGGTTATTCTTATAGTAGGAGTTGTTGTCACAGCAGTGGCCTATAGTTTCAACTCTCATGGATCAATAATCTCTGTTTTTGGGCTGGTCCTACTATCTTTTGGACTTCTCCTGGTCTGCTCAAGTGCTCTGTGCTGGAAAATTCGACAACGGAATAAAAGGGCGAAAAGGAGAGAGAGCCAGACAGCGCTGGTGGCAAATCAAAGGAGTTTATTTGCTTGAGAGTTGGAGAAAAGTGAGAACAGTGGTGAGACTGCATCTGCTTTAGTCATTTGGACCAGCTGGAGGGGTTCTTAGAAACCTCCATCTTCTTGGGATTTTGCTCGTATGAGACAGAAGTGTTCAAAAGTGTAAAACGACTGAGAAAGCTGATACAATGGAGAATATTGTCATAATATTTGGCATGAATGAGGTTCAACAGAATTCAGACAGTCAGTATTTTAGTTTTTATCCCATAAATTGACCTTCCTATGTAATATGTTTTTGAAATAGATAGTGATAGCTGCTTTGCCTGAGGTCATTGTGATCTGTATATGGAGGTTTTGGATACATAATTATATTAGATTTAGGCATTGTGGACAACTATCTCTTACCCTGAAATCAAAGTGTTGCAAATGAGAAAGAAAGAGGTTTCTCCCATGCTATTAAGTGATGAAAAATAATTTTCCTCATTCTATCCAATCACTGGGAAAATTAGATAAGTGGTTATCAGACATGTATATGGCTTTCCTTTGACGTAGCAAGCTCATGTACTAAAATCTGACATTTTAAATTGTGAAGGATCTTCAGCATTCAAAATGTCCAGCTAGTATGATCGGTCGTTAATCTAGTTATTGTGCTCTGATCTGCTAATTTAATGTGCATATACAGTCTACTATTCAAAACTACTATTTAGTGCATGTGCATAGGTAACTTAAAGGATATATGTGTTTTCGTTACCATTGCTTTAGCTGTCATTACATCTGCATGCAGTAGCAAATGCTAAACGGGACTCTGTTCATTACTTGAAAATGTCAGTGTGTTTTGTCTACTGTGGCCTACAGCTTCCCTGCCACTATATACATTGCTTTTTGGTGCTTATGGGGGACTCTGAAGCACCATTTAGCCTAATGTTGGTGACCCCTGTCCTTTTTTCTTAAAGTTCCTTCCAGTAGTGACCAGAAAACGTTACTTGGATACATAGCAGAGAGTAAACAAAACTTGGAGGATGCAGGCCTCAAACACAAACCTGTTTCATGTAATGTATGGCCCCTCTTTAAATTCCCGTTGGCTACAGAGGGGCACAGAATTGCCAAAGCACCTGCATTGATAGTGCAGTTTTTCTTTATAAAAGAGGTAAGATAAAGTCAAAGTATACTGATCTCTTTTTAACTCTATAGTAATATACTGTACATATGAGTAGTGATGAGCCTGGGTATGTTTGGAGTAGGAGTCAAACCAACGTGTTTGAATCTTGAATCTACGGACTGGACATTCTGCACTCCGCAGCCACACGTATAGATGTCCCTTGTAAACATGTGGCTGCGAGGTGGGAAATAACCTAGTGGCCCATGATTGACCCATACAGGTAACAGCTTCTTGGTGGGCTCACACCCATGTATTTGGATCCTACTCCAAATCAGGGGTGGACTGACCATTGGGATACTCGGGCACTGCCCGAGGGCTCGGGGTCAGTAGGGGGCCCCATGAGGTGCCCATGGCACCTTTCATAGGCTTTTTTGGGTGTGGTTTGAGTGTGGGCGAGGACACAGGGGCCCCATGATCCCCTATTTCCTGGGGGCCCCATGAGATGTCAGTGCGCCCCTGCTCCAAACATGCCCGAACTCATAACTACATATGAGTACCAGTTCATGAGGGAAGGCAGATAGGGTTTCCTCACAGGTTTCAATCCAAATATTTGATTAGTGGGTTATTTTGATATTCCCAACATATCTATTAAAAACTACCTTTAACCACCTTCAATTAATTTTGTGGAGACTGGATTAAAAAATAATTGGATTTTGGCATGCGTGCAGTAAATTGACAAAAAGATGATTCCTTAAAACTGTTAACTATTGTAATTATGTTCAGAATTTGAACTGATTTTAAAATAATGACTATTTGGTAATTTGGATGAATGTACTTTCAATACAATCAAAGAGTTCAATCAAATCAAAAAAAAACTGCAAAGCAAAGTTGAAATGCGTGTGGCCAGCTTAACACATATTACTTCATCTTATCTTCTGACTGCTTTATTGGGTGTACAGTCATATGATCTTGCTTTAGCATTGGATAGCTTTGATCTACCCAGAATGCAAGGCTTCACAAATGCCTGTCAGGTATGACATACAAATGATTTTATTCCTAAAAAAGCAAGTGGCCTGGCTATAACTCACTATAGTATGTCACTAATAAGTCAATGGGGTGGATTCACTAAATGCAATTAGGCTGCTTAGTAAATGTGGTAAAGCTTCACTTTGCAACGAATACCCAATCAGGTGCAAGGAAATTTAAAAAAAAACAGCATTTTTGCATGCATGTGATTGGATGATGGAAATTTACAACATTTACTAAGCTCTGCGGAAAATGACTACAACTGCAATTGCAATGTGCACAGTCTATTTGCCTTTAGTAAATCAATCCCATTAACTGGTTACCAGCATTATTTTAAGGAATTACAACATTTTTACTTGACTTTTGCTTGCTGCATGTCATCCTTCTTTACCTCAAGGCTTCAGTGTCATCTATCTTTTTCCCGAGAGCACAGGTTTCCAATAATGTCAGTGCCCCTTTGGGGACATTTCTCTTCACATCTTGTTCTTTCTGACAACTGTAACCTGGACAGGAAATGAGAAAGTAAAAAAATATTGATGTAGGTTTTTAATCTTCCCCACTCTACAAATAATGTTTTTTTATTGCCTTCTGTTTTGAAGCATCATTTTGGGAAAATTGCACTCATTTCCCTTGAAGGGAGGAAGGGAGCAATACAATTTGAAAACAAGCTCTAACCCTTTCCCATGCTACTGAAAATGTGTTTTTGTTTCAGTTTTATCAAATAGGAACAAAAAAGAAATTCCTCTAGAGATGAGTTAGACAGAAAACATGGCAGAGGTCCTTACCTTTCTGCATGCTATCCAAAACAAAAAATAAAAACTTTGGTTGGATTTAGGCTTTACATGAATGGTCCTTCATATGTGTGGGGTAGTATGGCACAGTTGAAGTAGTTACAGTAGAATATAAGGACCCAAGGGTAGCGTTACCTAGACCAGCCTTTCTCAACCTTTTCGAAACAGAGGAACCCTTGAATTAACTTTCCGGTCTCTGGGAACCTCTGCTAAAAATTACTATATCTACAACTCATGATACATTAATGTGATAGTCAGTGGAAAGAATGTTCCTCACACTTGTAGTCACTAGGAAGAATTACCCCCTTACAGATAGCTAAAAAGATCAATGGTGTCAGTGGGAATTTATCCGAGAGGCAGAAAATTGCTCATTGCAACCTAAGAACCTCTGGAGGAACAATAGAGTTCCATGGAACCTTGGTTGAGATACCTTAACCAATCCTTGCTGTTGACTTCACTAGAAGCAGGGGCCCCACTGTTCTACCTTTGCAATGTTCTTGGGTTTTAGTATCTGGTTCCTTTTGGTGCCCATTGTAACATTATTCTTCAGTTGTATATGGAAGTATTGCATTTACAGCTCTCTCTTGAGATGAATAAAGAAGACGCGTGGGACATGCTTTGTTTCACTGACCATATACCAGCAAAATTTCATTTGAACATTTGTATAGAAATTCTGTATAACTGCTGATCAGGGCATTCAATCTAACCATAATTTAGTTTGAAATTCCTTCCAAATTTCATCAAGACGTGGTGCTTGAACAGAACTACAGACATTTATTTTGTGCCCAGCACATATGTATTTTTCCTAAACAAAACCCCATTTATGATCAGAATTATATTAATTCAAGAAAACTTTTCTATTCTGCTGCTTCAAAATTTTCACCACTACAGTCAAAATCGATCACCGATTTGAACCCCGCTAGCCATCAGGAAATTGAAAGAATGTTTCGTAAATTAAATGTTTTCAATGAAATAATAATGTATGGCCAGCTTTATAAAATTTCTGCCCTGAAAGTGAAAAAATGTATTTTTTGAAACAGCAGTCAATGTTAATATGAACTGTATATGGATTTACGCTATAATAATAACTGTACAGATAATTTTTAGCACTAGGAGGCAATATTAGATTAACCTGATGTATAATTTCTTAAAAGAATGTTCCTAGTGTTCATTTGCACAAAATAACTATACTAGTAATAGAGAACATATATCAATGATGCAAAATAGTAGAACAACATAGACAAATAATGCAGCAAAAGAATAGGATCATTTGAGCAAGCTAAAAGAAGGATATGTATTTGTAACTTGCTACGTGTAGGGGGTTCGTTGTGCGATTGTAACAAATCATGGTTCATTATAGAGCAGGCTTTCCCAATCTTTTTACCCCAGAGGAACCTCTGAAATAATTTTCAGGTCTCGGGGAACCCTTAATAAAGCCAATTCTTCTGGAGTCAATTGCAAAATCCCCTTTCAGTGGTGGTCAGTAGGAAGAATGCAACCCTTTCAGTGGTCGTCAGAATGCTGCCACACAGTTAAAAAGATAATTGATGTCACGCTGTTGGCTTTGCTATTTGGCACTGGTCCTGAAACTATGCAGGCATCATCAAAAGAGATGTCAATCAGCCACATCTCAAGGAATTCCTAGAAACCTCTGGAGGAACCTAAGGGTCACATAGAACCCTGGCTGAGAATGACTTTTCAGGAGCTGACTTGAGTTTTGAACTGTGGGCACCAACTTCCCTTTCACTACTTGAGGAGTCTCTAATTCTAATTCAGATTGGGTAAGGGCAGCGTGTGCAGCAGACTTTTGCAAAGCATTTCCAAGGTTTTTGCAAGCTTCAAGAAGCTTTACTGACACCTTTAAAGTATGTAAACCTTAAAGCCCATCTCCAAGCAAAACAAAAAGTTTTCCCGTGCACTGGGGCTGTGCCTGCACTGCATGGGTTGACTACTCTTTATTGTCTAGGGGAGAGGAGAAGAGAGATATACTTACCTGATCCTCCCAGTACAAGACCAGTCCTGCATCCCCGTGCTCCAGTGGTCTTGAGATGTGGACTATTCCTGATATTATTGTTAGACAAAACAAGCAGCTGACCCGTGCAGTGTGGGCACAGCCCG